GATCACGGCCACAGGTACAGGCCAGGACTTCAGCAACTCTGTTTGGCGCACACGACTCAGTCCCGAACACTGAGAGTAGCAGGTACTCCAGGCGCCCGAGGAGGCCAGGTCCCTGGAAAGCAGAATCCCGCCCAGAGCTCGCCCAGCTCCGGACCATTAAAGCCCACGGGTATCTTCAGCTGTGTAACCCACGGCACCTCAGTCTTGACCTGTGCAAAACTAGACACCCCTCTTTCCTCTCCACGCCACCCTTCCCTCAGATATGAAAATCAGTGATTAAAAAAAAAAAAAAAGACTACTCTTTAGAGCAGTTTTAAGTTTACAGAAAATTGCGCAGGAAGCAGTTACCACTTCCCCCCCATCTCTGCACACAGTTCCCCGTTATTACCGTCTTGCATTCCTGTGGTGCGTCTGTCACAGTTGACTAGCATTACATTACTGTACATTATTATTAACTAAAGTCCACAGTTTACTTCCGGGTTCACTCTCCTGTAGCTCTAGGGGTTTTGACAAATGCAGGTCACGTGCCCACCATTACAGTGACCCTAAAAATGCCCTGTGCTCCCCTATTCATTGTCTCTACTCCCCGCTGAGCCCCTGGCAACCACTGATCCTTTCACTGTCTCTAGTTTTACCTTCTGCAGAATATTGTATAGCTGGAGTCATACGCTACGTAACCCTTCTCAGACTGGCTTCTTTGACTTAGCAAATGTGCATTTGCCGTTCCTCCATGTTTTTTCATGACTTGATAGCTTTTAATTTTATTGCACCATATCTATAACAAAACGTTAGGCGTCTTAACATGTCTTACACGTACAGTTCAGTGACATTAATGACGTTCACCACGCTGTTCAACCATCACCATTACGTGTGGGGGGCTGGGAAATGGTGAACACCAGGGAGTGCAGTTTGGTAGGAGACCCCGAGATTCCTCCAGGCCTTTCCTCACCCCTTCTGCCCACCCTGCTCCATGTCCAGGTCCCTGCGTGCCGGCCCGTAACTTACCTTTCATTCATTCCAGTTCCAGAGGTAGAGATGGTTCCCTGTTTGTAGGTTAGCCAAGTGGGTTGAAGGAGTCTGTGACTCACCTAAGGATATTCTTTGGTTTTTAAGTGAAAGTCAGGACTGGAACCTGATCTTGCATCCATGTAACAGTTCCCTCAACTCCTGCACTCTCCCTTCTGGGTGTGAGGGCTCGAGAGGTTATGGAGAAAAGGGTCATGGGAGAACTCTCCTGCCATCCTGAACGCCTCAGGGCTCCCCACCATGCAGCGGTTTATCCAGCGGGATATGTGCCAGGACCTTTATGTTTACAATTTCATGACACTGATTACACTGCTCATGTTATACCACATTACTGCTGTGTAGTAGTTGTTTTATGTATTTGCCAGGACTCTCTGGGTTATGAGAGAACTGAAATAAAAACAAAAAGGATTTATTAACTCATGTAATGTGTAAAACACCTTGGACTCAATTTAAAAACAAGATTTGGCTGTTTATAAAGTGCATTGTAGGAAGGTTTTTCAATCATTGAAATTAAAGGTTTTCTTTAATAACCTAGGACCTCTGCAACATTTCCTCAGTCAGCAGAGGAGGGGGCACTAGGAAGGAAGGGGGACCCCAGGAGGAAAGGGGACCTCAGGAAGGAAGGGGGACCTCAGGAGCAAAGGGGAAGATGGCCTTCATATTGTAAATCAGAAAGGGTAAAGTGGCTCTTAGCAAGGGGGATGAGGGCAGTGGTGGTCCAGAGGCAGACTTTTCACCGTTCCTGTGGGAGACCCACGTTTGATTCCTAGTCAATTTAGCTCACACACAGCCACCACCCCGTCTGTCAGTGGGGGCCTGTGTGTCGCTGAGGCTGCAGCAGAGCTTCTAGACTAAGATGGACTAAGAAGACAGGCCTGGAGATCTCCTTCCAAAAATCAGCCAATGAAAACCCTATGGATCACAGTGGTCTGATCTTGTGCATAGTTGCCGACTTGACAGCTAAGTTTGAAAGGGATACTGACGACGTGAGGGGCCCTGGTGACACAGCGCTTACGCTCACCAAACGGCTAACTGCAAGGTCAGTGGTTCAAACCCACCAGCGGCTCTGGGGGTCATCTGCTCCCGTGAAGATTGCAGCCTAGGAAAGGGGCAGCTGTACTCTGTCCTACAGGGTTGCTGCCTCGGAATTGACTTGACGGCAAACGACAACTGCTGACAGATTTGAGAAGAGGTCAAACGCACATGGAAAGGGGCTCCATCTCATTGGTCAACTGGGAAATGCAAATCACAATATGGTAGCACTATGCACCTCTCAGAGCCCTGGTGGCGCAGTGCTTAAGAGCTCGGCTGCTAACCAAAAGGTCGGCAGTTCAAAGCCATCTACTGCTCCTTGGAAACCCTACCGGGCAGTTCTACTGTCCTATAGGGTTGTTATGAGTTGGAATCGACTTGACGGCAGTGGGTAACATACCTATCAGAACTGCTGAAACAGGGTGTGTGTGGGAGAGACAAAACCATGTGTTGGCAAGGTTGTGGAGCAACCAGAACTCTCATATGCAGGAGCATAAACTGGTCCAGTGACTTTGGAAAACTGTGGGACAGTATCTACTAAAGCTGAACATATGGATAAATACAAAAACACGTATGTAATAGAAATGTGAACATAAACCCAACACATGTACACGGACAGCACAGCAACACTGTTCTTAGCCCCAAACTGGAAGCACCTCCACTCACATCAACAGAATGAACTGTGGCACATTCCCACCCTGCAACAATGACGACCCATCTACAAATGCACACAACAATACGGATGTCACAAGACTAATGTGAGCAAAGGAAGCCAGACACAGAGTCCATACTGTAGTCCCATTTGTAGAAAGCTTAAAACCAGACAAAACCAATTAGACATCAAAAGAGTGATCACCTTGTGGAGGTGTGAGTGGTGAGTGGGTGGTGACTGGAGGGGGCAAGAGAGGTTTCTGGAAAACTGGGAATGTTTCCTTAGGTGGGTGCTGGCTTCTGAGGTCTGTTCACTCTGAAAATTCGTTGAGTGTTTTGCTTATGATATGTGTGTACTTTTTTCCACGTTACGTCAATAACTCAATTAAAAAATATATTGTACATACATTAAAAAAAAGTCTCATATACACTTTAAAACCATATAAGCTGACCTAAACGTACATAAGGAAAAAAAAAAAGCATGGGAGAATAGCTACGAAAATTCTGGTGAAAAACAGTAATGAGGAAGGACTAGTGGTATCAGATATTAACTTTAACAGTACGTTGCTGTTATTGTTAGGTGCTGATTTTCTACTCATAGTGACCCCATGTGACAGAGCAGAACTGTAATCTTTACGGAAGCAGACTGCCACATCTTTCTCCCTTGGCGCGGCTGGTGGGTTCAAACTGCTGACCTTTTGGTTAGCAGCCTAGCATTTAACCACTGCGCCACCAGGGTTCCTTAAAAAGAACATTTAGAGAGCATGAAATAACTCTTACAAAGGATACCATTCCTCTGTGGACTATCGGACTTGTCACCTTAGGATCCCCTGGAGAATCCCTTCCCTGACTATGTGTAACCACCAGGGCTGTGTCCCCTACCCCACCACTTTCCAGCTGGGTGATCACAAGTGATGGTTTCATTCCTGCTTACACGAGGGGAGAGGCATCTGTAATAAAAGATAAATATCCACATTTATTAACGTCAGCATCTTTTCTGCACTGTGATGACTTTTTTGTAATTTAAATGACCTCTAACACTATGAACTAGTGGCCGCTCACAGGCTCCACGTGTCCGAATGATGATCCTCAGCTTGGCAAACTAGCACTAAGGAGCCCCTTTAACGGACTCTTTGTTCTTCTAGGATCATTCCTTCCAGGATCATGCATGCAGGGCTTCAAACTGGCTCAAACCCCTGCTGAAAATGGACATTTCCAACAAGTGCCCAGGTTATACACAAGAATCACCTGAGGATCCTGTTAAAACCTAGATTCTGATTCAGTATATGGGGTGGGGGGAGGGGGAAAGGCAAATTCTCAGCAGGGGTTTGAACTGGTCCAACGACGTTTTCAAGCTGTCTCTGTGGCTTCTGGCAACCAGCTATTCCAGGCCTTCTGATGGCTGCCTCACACCGAGTCCAGGCTGCTCTCAGTGGAGATCAGTATTAAAGCAAGGGCAGAAAATGATCTTTTTAAGCTGACACTACTTTTTCCAACTTACCATCCTGGCACCCACCTCGACTTTTTTCTATGTGATTTATCAAGGAGTACTTTCCTTTGCATCTTTGCACCTTCTATAAACTTCACAGAATAGCGTTTGGCCTACACATAACAGGTGCTTAAGCATGCTGATGAACTCTCCAGAACAAACGCATGATTACGGCACAGGGACCTGCGGGAAATGATGCATCTGGATGTTGCGTCCGACAGGGGTTGCCGACCACACTCAGTGTGAGGAAGGCTAACATGGCGGCTGCCCTGGCCTTGGGAAGTACCTGCAGCAGAGGCGGTGGACAGAGTCTGCTGGTGCCCCTCCTGACCTTCTTCTCTTTACTGTCTCCAGGTTCTGCCTATACGAGTCCTTTGCTCTGATGTTTTGAACATAATTCCCTGATTTAAACACCTCCTCCTCTCCTGAAGAGGATCTGAACGAGTCTTCTAGGTACGAATCTTTAGCAAAGTGCAGGCACTGGGCGGGCAGGGCTCTAAGCCACTCCACCTAAAGGCTGCTTAGAGGCCTAGCTGGCTGCTTTGGGTCAGGTGGCTGTTCCTTGTTCACTCAGCTGTGGTAGCAGAGAACGTGGTACTGAGCTTGTGTCACGGCTAGGACGACACACGCCCAGCACACCAACCTGGACCTTCCGGTTCTGGAAGTGCACGTCCAGAGTGGACCTGACTGGCTAAGGTCCAAACACATGCTGCCCCGGCCCGTTACTCGTCTGAGCAGACCGCCCTCCGTGTGTCCACACCCCCACCCCAAACAGCACCTAGCACACTTCCAATAATCCATTTATCACCCTCCCGGATTTTATGCTCAAGATGTATCTGCTGAATAATAAATTACAGTAGCTTTTAGAGCTGGAACTATGAACTAAAGCCAGCCTTTGGGGGGCTGCTCGGCAGCAAACGCTGTCCTCACACTTGACACGAGTTACAGCGTTTCTCAAAACAACTGTGTGACAGGCATTGGCCGACTGAGATGAGAGACAGAGGAGAACGTGCCTGAAGTCCTGTGTCTAAACCTAGAAGCCACCCAACTCTCCATTCAACCCTCTCGTTATTTATAAGAGTACGGATGTTTATAATCCTTAGATCAGAAGCTAACATCTGGGTATGAGAGAAACTGTCAATAATTAAAGGACAAGGCACTGCCTGGGAAATGGGAGCAACCTAGAAATTTTATGATCAGGATCATCTGAGGAGTCCCAATTCAGATCAGTACAGATAGACAGCATGACAAAGAGCCATTAACTTATCAGGCTTGTTCGTGAACTCTTCAAAGATGAGGGAACGTATAACTTGTGAAAATGGAGGTGACACTGGTCAGACAGAGAGGGCCAGAGAGACCAAGGAACTCTGAGTGACTCGCTTGATGATGAAACAAGGAGGTCCAAACCAGGTAAGACCTGAAAGATAACTGCGGGAAAAAGCATTTGCCTTAGACACGACTTCCACAGGGTGGTGTTAGCTATGAAGTTGACAAGGTTTTCAAACAGATTTTAAACTGCTTATGCTGTGTTAGTCTTATTTTTACTGAATCTGTTCCCAAAAAAATGGCCAAAGAGGTAAGCGTAAAATCGTCTTTTAGTAGTTTTTCTTCTGGGCTGAGTCCGTGATAAAAAGCCACCATACTAATAGCCATAATTCTTTCAAAACTGGCCCCATTTCTGAATTAAGAGGCTTTACCGTCTGACCCAGTTCTTTCAAAACTGGCTCCATTTCTGAGTAACCAGGAGGCGTCACTCCTTTTTGACCCAACAGATCTTGCCGTTTTCTCCAAGCTGGACTGCCCCGCTGGCCACCAGCTGGAGGGCCGCAGGGAATATCTTATGTTCTGCTGTCTTCACCCTTTCAGACAGAGTCGCCACGGAGTCACCCCTCTTCACCGGAACAGCTTCTTGTAAAATAATTTGTCCCGCATCTACGTCTTCCTGGAAAAGCAAGCAAATGTTGTGAACATGACCTTCCAGCCAGTACGAGTCACAGCTAAAATTAATGTTGGAAACGCTTCGGTAGAAAAGACAAACTCACGGCTACGAAGTGGACAGTGCAGCCAGTGACGGCGACACCGGCCTCCAGGGCTTGCTCGTGGGCGTTCGCCCCCTTAAAAGAAGGCAGCAAGGACGGGTGGATGTTGAGCATTCGCCCTAGGAACGAGCAAAAGCAGCGTGGTTAGAGTGTGACAGTCCTGTGCGTTCTCTCAGAGGCTTTCCTGCCTGGAACCCGGACTCTCCAGGAGCAGGATTTCTCTCTGATGATGATTTCTTTGTCAAAGGGGGAGGGGAGGTAAGGGAAACACGACTTCTCATCCAGCCAGGCTCTTGTGGCTGCAAGTGCCCGTCCTGCGCAGGCAGAAGCCATGCTGAGGGGTGCTGAACAGCACCCACAAAGACGGAAGGGTGGGTGGGAGGGCCCTGCAGGAAAACTCAGCCGTTGCCAGCAGACACCATTAGGGAGAGGAGAGGGGTCCTGCAGTGTCTACGCTTCACTTCTGACTACGAGCAGCACGTCCACCAGCCAGATTATCAGCTCTGTGTGCCTTATAGGAGTTGCTTGGTGGCGCAGATGGTTAATGCGCTTGGCTGCTAATTAAAAGGTTAGTGGCTTGAGTCCAGCTAGAGGCACCCTGGAAGAAAGTCCTGGCAATCTACCTCCAAAAAACCAGTCACCGAAAACCCTGGGGAGCACAGATCTACTCTGACACAGATGGGGTTGCCATGAGTCGGTATCAACTCGATAGCAACTGGTTTGGATTTGGTGTGTGCCTTGTCACCAAGGCATGGCCTATTGTATATCACACCACAACTGCTCTGACTACATTCACTCAAGAAAATACCCATTCTTTGGAGGACCAAGGCATGGCCTATTGTATATCACACAACAACTGCTCTGACTGCATTCACTCAAGAAAATACCCATTCTTTGGAGGGAAAATGCATCAACTGCCCAAATGCATGCGCAACAAGGGGAAACAGGATGCAGATGAAGCTTTTTGGGAAAAAGGCAGTAACATAAAGCAGTGTGTTTTCTGCAACGACACCTTCCTTGCCACGGTCTACACTTCCCTAGCCGGGTTCTTCATTTTGGGATACAGGAAAGCATTTTCTCTAGCTTCTACACAAGTAAAACAGTCTCTGCATAGTATTTGTTTGTTTTTATGACTGTACTTTAGATGGTTTACAAAACAAACTAGCTTCTCATTAGACAATCAGTATACATATTGTTTTGTGACATTGGTTACCAACCCATCGACATGTTAACACTCTCCCTTCTCGACCTTGGGTTCCCCCTATTACCAGCTTTCCTGTCCCCTCCTGCCTTCTAGTCCTTGCCCCTGGGCTGGTGTGCCCCTTTAGTCTCGTTTTGTTTTATGGGCCTAATATTTGGCTGAAGGGTGAACCTCAGGAATGCCTTCATTTCCGAGCTAAAAGGGTGTCCGGGGGCCATACACTCGGGGTTTCTCCAGTCTCTGTCAGGCCAGTTAGTCAGGTCTTTTTTTGTGAGGGCACAGTATTTGTTAAGAAGATTAAGTATTATCAGTGGCGTTTGCAGTGATGTGAAATGCACCTCTTACCCAAGCTATACAGGCATGCCTCGTTTTATTGCACTTTGCAGATGTTGCGATTTTTACAACTGAAGGTTTGTGGCAGCACTGCTTCAAGCAAGTCTACTGGCGCCCTTTTTTCCAACAGCATGTGCTCATTTCGTGTCTCTGTGTCACATTTTGGTAATTCTCCCAATATTTCAAACTTTTTCATTATTATTATATCTGTTATGGTGATCTGTGATCTTTGATGTTACTACTCTCATTGTTTTGGGGCGCCACAAACCACTCCCATATACAACAGCGAACTTAATAAACGTGTGTTCTGACTGCTCCACTGACCAGCTGCTCCCCACTTCTCTCCCTCTCCTTGGGCCTCCCTAATCCCTCAGACACGACAATATTGAAATTAGGCCAATTAATAACCCTACAATGACCTCTAAGCGTTCAAGTGAAACGTAAAGTCGCATCTCTCTCACTTTAAATGAAAAGCTAGAAATGATTAAGCTTAGTGAGGAAGGCACGTTGAAAGCCAAGAAAGGCCAAAATCTAGGCTTCTTGCACCAAACAGCCCAGTTGTGAATGCAAAGGGAAAGCTCTTGAAGGAAATTAAAAGTGCTACTCTAGTGAACACATGAATGGTAAGAAAGAGAAGCAGCCTTACTGCTGATACGGAGACAGTTCTAGTGGCCTGGATAAAAGATCAAACCAGCCACAACATTCCCTTAAGCCAAAGCCCAATCCAGAGCAAGGCCCTAACTCCCTCCAACTCTATGAAGGCTAAGAGAGGCGAGGAAGCTGCAGAAGAAGTTTGAAGCTAGCAGAGGTTGGCTCATGAGGTTTAAGGAAAGCAGCCACGTCCATCACACAGAAGTGCAAGGTGACGCAGCAAATGGTGATGGAGAAGCTGCAGCAAGTTGTCCAGAAGGTCTAGGTAAGACAACCGATGAAAATGGCTACACTAAGCAACAGGTCTCCAACGCAGACCAAACAGCCTTCTGCTGGAAGAAGACGCCATCTGGGACTTTCACAGCTGGAGAGAAGTCAATGCCTGGCTTCAAAGCTTCGAAGGACAGGCTGATTCTCTTGTTAGAGGCTAATGCAGCTGGGGACTTTAAGTTGAAGCCAATGCTAATTTACCGTTCCAAAACTCCTACGGCCATTAAGAATTATGCTAAATCTACTCTGCCTGTGCTGTCTAAATGGAACAACAAAGACTGAATGACTGCACGTCTGTTTACAACATGGTTGACTGAATATTTTAAGCCCACTGTTGAGACCTACTGCTCAGAAAAAAATTCCGTTCAAAATATTATTGCTCATTGACCCCACATCTGGTCACTCAATATCTCTGATGGAGATGTACAAGATTAATGTTGTTTTCATGCCTGCTAACACAACATCCATTCTGCAGCCCACGGATCAAGGAGTGATTTTGATTTTTCAAGTCTTATTATTTAAGAAATACATTTTGTAAGGCTGTAGCTGCCATAGGTAAGTGATTCCTCTGATGGATCTGGGCAAAGTAAATTGAAAACCTTCTGTAAAGGATTCACCATTCTAGATGCCATTAAGAACATTTGTGATTCATGGAAGGAGGTCAAAATATTAGCAGGAGTTTGGAAGAAGTTGATTCCAACCCTTAGGGATGACTTTGAGGGGTTCAAGACTTCGGTGGAGGAAGCAGTGCAGATGTGGCAGAAACAGCCAGAGAACTAGAATTACAGATGGAACCTGAAGATGTGACTGACTTGCTGCAATCCAATGATAAAACTTCCTCGGATGAGGAGTTGCTTCTTACGGATGAGCAAAGGAACTGGTTTCTTGAGATGGCATCTACTCCTGGTGAAGATGTTGTGAACATTGTTGAAATGACAACAAAGGATTTAGAATATTACATAAACTTAGTTGATAAAGCAGCAGCAGGGTTTGAGAGGACTGACTGCAATTTTTAAAGAAATTCTACTGTGGGTAAAATGCTACCAAACAGCATCGTGTGCTACAGAGAAATCTTCCATGAACAGAAAGGTCGGTTGATGCGGCAAACTTCGCTGTTGTCTTATTTTCCGCAATTGCGACAGCCACCCCCCCATCAGTCAGCAGCCATCAACACTGAGACAACACCCTCTACCGGCAAAAAGATGACGACTCACTGAAAGCTCAGATGATGGTTAGCAGTTTTTAGCAATAAAGTACTTTTAAGGTATGTACTTTTTTTTTTTTTTTTAAAGAGATAAGGCTATTTCACACTTAATAGACTACAGTATAGTGCAAACGTCACTTTTATATGTACTGGGAAACCAAAAAAATTTGTGTGACTTGCTTTATTCCCATACTGGCTTTATTACGGTGGTCTAGAACTAACCCGCAGTATCTCCGAGGTATGCCTATACTGGAAAAAGTAACTAACTGTAGCAGCCCAGAAAAAATTGATAGTGAGCAGGTTAATAAATCATTATTGGGTCATTCTTTGGGCTAAAGCAAAGGAAATTAAATTTTGATCTACGTTAAAATAAGACGTCACAATAAATATTTCACTACTAGGACTGTTTGGCAAGTTAACCACTCTGCAGTTCATTTTCAGTTGATTTCTTACTGTGATGTCAAACAGTTTTTTGCTTACCATTCCATTTCCTGACAAAAGGGCCAGATAAAATTCTCATGAATCCTGCGAGACACACTATGTCTGTGGAGAACTCTTCAAGGACTTGGTCGACTGCATTGTCAAATTCTACACGACTTTTATATAATTTATGGTTTATTACCTGTGACAGAAAAAGATAAGCACAATCTTTCAATGAATTATCACAAATAAGACTCAACTTTCACAGCGTGTCCTTCTAAAGACACACCGACCACGAAGAATGATGAAGGAAGAACAGGACGAAGCAGAAAGGCAATCTCAGCACTCACCTCAAATGTCCTCTGTAGAAGTCTCAAAGAACAAGTGCCCACAGACCAGTGTGCCATGAGGGTAGATTATGAGTTTAAATGCAGCCTGCAGGAAAGGTAAGTTTCAAAGTCACTTACTCTGGTGGGAATACCAGCTGTCTCTGCTTTGTCCAGTCCAGCCACTGCGGCTTTGTTGGAGATGACAACAACAACGCGTGCAGAGCTGTGTGGCTCCCGAGTACTGTCAATCAGTGCTTGGAGGTTCGAGCCTGAAAAGACACACGCGCCATTCTGAATGGGGACTGGCCAAGATTTCTGCATAAATTTCTTCGATGAGGCTGACAAAATACGTGAGGCCTTTTTCCTTCCCTTCCTCCCCGGATAAGTGACAGCTTGGGAAAAACACAGGTATTCGTGGCCCTAGGATATATAAATCCTCTTGCAAAATAACAAGACAGGATGGATCCAGCATGGTTTTAAAGATGATTGATAGGAATAAGCTGTTTAATTAAGCGGAAAACCTGACCCTCTCAAGAATAAACCACCATGGCCCTTACAACAGTTCCTTGCTTCACCGCCAACTTTGGCCTGGGTGTATTGAAAACCTCAGAAAGGACTTAAGCAATTATGCTGCTGGGAATGTGTCGCAAATAATCAGATATGCACTTAAGAACGTGTTGTGTATTTATAAAAACACTTAACTACATTCATCTGAGAGATATAATGCTCTTATTACTTCACCCTTTTATCCACAAAGATTAAACATGGTTTTTTTTCCTTACAGTATTAACAATAAACAAGCTTTCTACTGCTTTAGGACCTTCCAACCACAAAGCTAGGATACGAAGTTGGAACTTCCTCCTTTCTGTCTCTTCTAGATCCTCTTCCTTCTACAATCTTCCTGACTCCCTTCACCTTTACCGCTGGGAGCTGCTGCAAACGCACATGGAAAGCGGAAGGATGAAGGACGCTGAGGAGACAGCACTCCTTGGTGGTTTCAGGATTTTCCCGCCCAACTCTGCTGAGAGCACCTCTACAGCTGAGGGGAGGCCCCGTCTCACCTGTTCCAGATATCAGGACAGCCACTCGTGCCCTTGGTGGTTGGACAGAGACGTGATTTTCCAGGGAGCTGTTCTCCAACACTGACCTGTTTATCTGCATGCTTTCCATCAGATTCCTGACTTTCACACGCGGGGAATCTTCACGTCAAACACAAACATAAACAAGCAAAGGCCACGTGGGAATCAGCAGGTGTAACGAAAAGGAAAATACTTTATGCAAACTTTACAGTGCTGTGTTTTACTCTGAAAATAAGACATCCAAAAGTAAAACCAACAACAGGTTTGAATCACTTCATATTACGCTTTCACAAAGACTTCGGAAGGTGAACGCGTGCCATCACCTACTTTAATGAAGAGCTACACAGCACACCACCGCATTTAGGCACGCAGTGACGGGGGCCCAGGTGGTTCAGTGGTAGGATCTCGCTTTCCACGCAGGAGACCCAGGTGAACTCCTGGGCTGAGGCACCTGATGTGTGGCCACTACCCACCAGGCTGACCGGACGGCGGCTGCCAACGAGCCTGTGGTGGGCGTGCTACCGCCTGCCCCCATCTTCCTAGTGGGACCGCCCGTGACAGTGCCCTGGCCTCAGGGGTAAGCAGGTGACCCAAGCAAGGCCATTCAAAGAGGTGATACAGGATGCTACAGGAGAGGGAGTGAGTCTCTTTCTTATGCATTCTGCTAAAGGGTGTGGGCTCAAGATGTATTTCTGGCATCTGGAGAACGTGCCTGAAAATGAAACCTACACAGTAAAGGAAAAAACGCAGATCAACGCAAAGCTAACAGGCTCTGACATCCTTTTTAGCTAATCTTCCACGTCCAAACAATAGTCCTGACTGACACACAGTGCTCATCAGGGTGCTCAATAAATGCCGTGAGTGGAGCGGACCAGCAAGCAGAGCCTGAGACAAGGTGCTGCAGACAGGCCAACTGCTTTGGGAAGGGGTGGCGAGGAATCAGAGTGGGGTCTGGAGAGCGATACAGGGGGCACCACTGTGAGGGGTCTGGTTACACTCGTCACCTCCGTGGGCAGCTGGGGCGAAACTGCACTCAGACTCTCTAAGAAGCCATGCGGACTATGCCTCAAAATCATTCTCCTCTCTGTCCCTAAAGTGGATATTTATTCACTGGCTCTCACCCCTCTGGGCAAGGGTTGACCTGTGGGTATAACCCCCTGCCCATCCAGGCTGTACATACATGAAGTGTCACAGAGGCTTGAGACAGAAATTAAGATACATAGGGTAACTGGGGTAGGTACAGTCACGGCACCCCCATGTAAATACGGTTCCTATAGCAATGCTGGAATGAAAGGTGGGCAGAGAGCTTGTGAAAAAGGGAATAGTGTACTTAAGATTATATACCTAAAAACAAACAAATAAGCAGTGATTACCCGCAGGACATGCAACCACACTGCCAATCACCCAGGCTTCTTCCTTGTGCTGCTGAATATCCCTCAGAATCTGCTCCGTCAGATCCCTGGGGACCACGAGGGCAGCCCCAATCCCACAGTTAAACGTTCTGGCCATCTCTTCTTCAGCAAGGTGCCCTTCCTGCTGCAACCACGAGAAGATCCTGGGGATCCCCCAGGCCCAAGCATCTGAAACAGGCAAGAGTTGTCTCACACAAAGTATAAAAACATTCACAAGTACAAAATTATACAAACTGCATTGCTATCTGAAGTAGAGTAAAACCATGAACTGGCCTTTCAGAAGCAGTCTTTCTTTGGATCCATTTGTACGTTAGAACATTGCGAACATTTTTGTTGATGCACACAGCCTGGTTTCACAACTGAGTGAGGCTTTGTGCTGCATTAATTAGCTGGATCCTTAGAAACCTTAGTACTCCCTAAGGGATTAGATGCAGCAGCTGCTGAACTCCAGCCTCTTAGTATTCCCCTAAGAGATTAGATGTAGCAGCAGCTGAATTCCAGCAAAGGTTGGCACCCTTTTATGAACATGTGGCTGGGTCTTAGCAATGACCAAAACACACCCTCAACACGATGCAAGGTGTCACTGGCTGCCATTGGGTCAGCCTGACCTGTGGCAACCCCAGGCACGACAGAACGGGATGCTGTCTGGCCCGCGTCGTCTCCGAGATCAGTGGTGGAGCGAACCGTCGCGATCCACAGGGTTTTCATCAACTAACTTTTGGAATCAGATAGTCAGATCTTTCTTCCTAGTCTGTCTTTAGCTTTGCTGGAACCTTTTCAGCATCATAGTAATACGCGAGCCACCAATGACAGACAGGTGGTGGCTGCCCAGGAGGTCACTGCCAGGAATGGAACCTGTGTCTCCTGCGTGAAAGGTGAGAATTCTACCACTGAACCAACAATGCCCTCATCATGCAAGACTGTTGTTATTAGGTGCTGCTGAGTAAGCTCTGACTCACGGCAACCCTAAGTACAACAGAACGAAATACTGCCTGGTCCTGCGCCATCCTCACAATTGTTGTTATGCTTGAGCCCACTGTTGCAGCCACTGTGTCAATCCATCTCCTTGAGGATCTTTCTCTTTTTCACTGACCCTCTACTTCACCAAGCATGATGTCCTTCTCCAGGGTTTGGTCCCTCCTGATAACATGTACAAAGTACATGAGATGAAGTCTCGCCATCCTTGTTTCTAGGGACCATTCTGGCTGTACTTCTTCCAAGACAGATCTGTTCATTCTTCTGGCAGTCTGTGGTATATTCAATACTCTTCGTCAACACCGTAATTCAAAGGCATCAATTTTTCTTCGGTCTTCCTTATTCTTTGACCAGATTTCACATGTGTATGAGGCAACTGAAAATACCACGACCTGGGTCAGGCTTACCTTAGTTCTCAAAGTGACATCTTTGCTTTTTAACATTTTAAAGAGGTCTTTTGCAGCAGATTTGCCCAATGCAATGTGTTGTTTGATTTCCTGACTGCTGCTCCCACTGGCATTGATTGTGGATCCAAGTCAAATGAAATCCTGGACAACTTCAATCTTATCTCCGTGTGTCATGATGTTGGTTATTGGTCCAGCTGTGAGATTTCTGTTTTCTTTATGTCGAGGTGTAATCCATACTGAAGGCTGTGGTTTTTGGTCTTCATCAGTAAATTCCTCAAGTCCTCCTCGCTTTTAGCAAGCAAGGTTGTGTCATATGCATAACGCAGGTTGTTAATGAGTCTTCCTCCAATCCTGATGCTGCTCTCTTCATATAAGGCAGCTTCCTAGATTACTTGCTCAGCATACAGACTAAATAAGTATGGTGAAAGGATACAACCCTGACCCACACCTTTCCTGATTTAAACCACAGAGTGTAGAAACTGTTAAATGGGAATCTAATCTGCTGTGTAAATTTTCACCAAAAACTCAATTAAAAAAACAAAAACAAAAACATAATGGCTTTTAGGGATATGGCTTTATCAACTCTCAATTTCCTAATGAGGTGACTATTACATTATTTTTAACCAAGGGTGTGCTGGAGCCAGCTTGTAACAGCAATTAAATACAGCCATTTTTCAAATGGCCATGGTGGGAGTATTTACACCACAGTAACTGGCAATGCTACAAATCAGTGTTGCCTCCATTCATCAGCATGCTATTAATTACCTGCACAAGGTGATGATGGAAAAAATTCTTTAAGGTTTTTGTTAACGCTCCCTTGAAAGCATTTCTATCCAATGACTGTCTTCAACCACTAATTATCCCTCCCATGTGGCCCTTTGGAGCCCTGGTGGCACCGTGGTTAAGAGCCTGGTTGCTAACCAAAAGGTTAGCAGTTTGAATCCACCAGCTGCTTCTTGGAAACCTGATGGGACAGCTCTACTCTGTCCCATATGGTTGCTATGAGTCGGAATTGACTCAACGGCAATGGGTTTGTTTTTTTTTTTTTGGGTGCTCTTTAACTCTTTACTATGCTCATTCCACAGATCTGGAAGGGATTTCTATTGAGCTCAGCCTAGCCTTTCTCTTCTGCTCTCCTGGCTAGGCTGAGGTCCCATCTGCTCACTTTCCTAGCTTACCTTGCCTATTTCCTCACTCTACATAACCTATTTCTCACTCTTTTGACTCTTGCCTAGCTTCACATACTCTGACTCTAAGATTAAAAACGAAACCCACTGCTGTCAAGTCGATTCTGACTCATAGGAATCCTACAGGACAGGGTAAAACTGCCCCATAGTGTTTCCAAGGAGCGCCTTGGTGGATTCGAACTGCCGACCTTTTGGTTAGCAGCCGTAGTACTTAACCACTAAGCCACCAGGGTTTCTGACTCTAAGGTGAGGCCACTCAAATCTACTCACTTGCACCCAGAGCTGCTTCTCCCCCATGACCGACCCCTATACTTGCCCAACTCAACCAGATCAACCCAATCAATCCATCTCTTCCTGTTCCTGCGTCAACGCTATTCTACTTTGGGAGAAAAATCACATAACCAGCTTCAACTTCCACTGTGCTCAGTGCTGCCGTCTCCTCGTTCCTGACACTGACTGCTTTATCTGGATGCCTCTCCTCAGGCCCCCTCCAGGTCTGCCCAACTCCCCGATCCCTTAATACCTTACTGAAACGAGTTATTTCATGTGAATTGCCTCAGTTTCTACTTTTTCAAACCAGCGTACACTGGTTGACCGTGACAGGTGCAGAGTTCCTCAGCCTTTGTCTCTCTGTCCTACAAAAAACAGGTGGGGAAAGCCTTGACCCTTACGTTTCCCACGTGCTGAACTCACAATTCCCTTCTCCTTTTTACTACTAAGTTTCTTGAAACAGGACTCTCCACTTGCTGGCTCTACATCTTTGCCAGCCATTCTCCCCACAGTAACGTGGTGGGTGGTATCTACACCCCACCAAGCTCGTTTCTGAACTGACAATGAAACACATTGGTCTCTTCTGGTCCTTATCCTCATCTCTGTTCTGCATCGGACACTGCTGACCTGCGTCATCTTAAAATCCTTCCTTGGCTTTTATGAAGACTTTTTTACATGGTTCACCCCCTGCTGACTGTTCTTTTCAGTAATTCTATCTCTTGCCAACCCTTAAGGTTGACAGAATACCAAAAAACACCCTTTTGGTCCCCTCCACACTCTTGGCTATATGCATACGACCATCCAACTTATCTTCAGCTTGATCTCAACTTCTGCTCAGAGACATCTTGTAATTAACAATTGAAGATTTAAAAAACTGTATGCTCACTTCCTATTCCAAACATAACTCTTCCTCCTATGTTATGGACATTACCATCTGCTCATCTGCTTAGTCAAATACTTGTTTCTTTTTCCTTGTCACTCACGTCTAAGCATGCAATGATACTCAAATCTGTCTCCCCTCTCTGTGCCTTGGCTCAGGTCCTCTTTATCTCCTGTACAGACTATTTACCAGCTACCATTTCCCTGCCAAAGGAGCCCTGGTGGCACAGCTGTTAAGTGCTCAGCTGCTAACCTAAAGGTCAGTGGTTTGAACTCAATAGCTGCTCCGTGGAGAAAGATGTGGCAGTCTGCTTTCATAAAGATTATAGCCTTAGAAACCCTGTGGAGCAGTTCTACTGTCTCTGTCCTACACGGTTGCTATAGTTGGAATTGACTTGATGGCACTGGGTTTGGTTTGGGTTTTATTTCCCTGCCTGGCACAGAGGGTTCCATCATGATAGAGCCTGAGGTTACTAACCCCCTAGAAGGATCTACTTGTGGTACTTCATCTTCAATGAAGTCAATTATGTGAGAGGATTTTATGCCTTTTAAATATGGGTAATGAAGAAAGAGAAGTGGAAAGGGTTAGCTCTATTTTTTCCCCCCAAATCCCACCAATTAAGAATTTTGCAGGTAGAAGCCTATACGCACTAAGTACCGATAGTTTCCTCCCACAATGCATTTTCCCCTCTAACAGTTTTCTGAACAAAAGTTCCTTTTAGTATTCTTACCTAGGTCCACCCCAAGTCCCTGAGGAAGGACTCTGGGGATGTTTTCTAGCAACCCTCCTCCAGTGATATGCGCAAAAGCCTTGACGTGTCCTGAACGTAGGACGGGTAACAGTGTCTGGCTGTAGATTCTAGTTGGAGTTAGAAGTAACTGCCCTGTACACGGGAGACAGAAGACCAAAGCTTAGCCTATAAAGACCAAAGCATCTAAAACAATTCTGAAATGGAGACACGTTGTGATCTTCCACAGAAACACCAGGTCTACAACAAGCCGTGAAATCACAGGATAATGTATTCCATCTAGCTGTAACTCTTCAGAGGCTCACCGCGCCTAGCTGTCGCTCAGCCGTTCCAAGCAGAGTGTAAAGGTAAACCAAGTTACCTAGCGTTTGGTCACCACAGCCCTCAGGTGCTGGGGAGGAGTACGAGAGGCAAGATTTCTCCACAATCTTCCTCACGAGGCTAAACCCATTGCTATGGAGGCCAGATGAAGCTACTCCAATAACCGCATCCCCCTCCATGATTCTGTCCATGTGAGGAAGTTTCTGATCCCGCTCCACGGCACCGACGGCAAATCCGGCCAGGTCATACTCTCCGGGAGGGTACATGTCAGGCATTTCAGCTGTTTCACCTCCTGTTGAGGGGATAAGAGGGGAGCAAACACGCCACATAACATTTAAAAACCTGCCTAGGAAGGAGTGGCATCAACTACTCTTAACGTGAAGAATTAAACACGTGGTTATATTCTTAAAACAATCGATACAACTTATTATTAGCTGCCTAACAGAAGCTTCAACCAAGCAACCAAAGGGTGAGATAAGGTAGTATCCCTGCAAGTATGTGCATAGCTGCCAAACCTCATTACTTTAACAGGAGTGCTCAATGGAATATAACATCATTTCTATAATAATTTAATTTCAGAAATGCTTTCATATATATTTGATCTTTACAATCACTCCAGTGTCCAGATAATGGTACAGGCTTAGAGAAATGATATGAGTAAAGGCAGGCAGACTCCAAATTAGAAATCGTGCTCTAGAAGATGGTTGAGAAGGCAGTTTTTGGCTTTGGGACAGGCTGGTCCACAGAAACAGTAATATAAAAGAGAGAGTTTCTATCTATATGGGATCAAACTGACAACAGCAACTTGAAAGATTAGATAGGAAGCTTAGGGGGCAGTGAGTTTAGGTTAATGGAGGAGGACCAATTTGGAAAAGGAAGGTGAGAAGGACTGCACGACTTGAAGAATGTAATCAATGTCACTGAACTGTATATGTAGAAACTATTGAATTGGTTACATCCTGCTGTTAACATTCTCAACAACAACAAAAAATAAATCTTAAAAGAAAGGTAGTTTAGTTCCTTGGCTAAACTACAAGTTAATTTTGCTCAAAATTCTCGTACATATTGAAGCAATATTTCTACAAAGCTTGAGTACATTTTATTCTCAATGCCACTTCTGTGGGTACACATGACCCATCTGTCTTTGCTGCAGGACCAGTGAGGAGTAAATAATCCTAGGCCTGGCCGTTGAGGGGGCTGCCAAGAAAGATGGAGGTGGACAAGGGAGCCAAAGATGAGAGTAAAGACAGGCCTGCCTGACAGGTTAGGGAGATAGGCTTCGGGGACAAACCCCTGAGCAGGGGTTTGAGGGAACAACGGTCTAAGTTTTCTTCAGGTAGTGTTACCTATATTTTACCTCCCTCATCCTGTGATGCATGGTCTCTCTTGCTAGCCATACTGGTACCAATCTCGTCTGTGCTAAAATACGTTTAAAAGAAGGGTATGTGATGAAATGGACGCCAATACCAAGGAGAGCACATCCAGCTTTTCCACAAGCTTCCGCGATCCCAGCGACAACAGCTTCTGCTGTATCAAGGTTGAGTTTTCCACAGGAAAAGTAGTCCAGGAAGAAGAGAGGCTCTGCCCCTTGTGCCAGAATATCATTTACACACATGGCGACCAGATCTTGACCAATAGTATCATGTTTATTGCACAGCTGGGCAATCTGCAGAAACACAACGTAAACATCCATGTAAGACAGTAAGTTCCAAATTATCTCGTGTCACTTTCTCAATGGAGGCTGACAAACACTATTGCCTTTTGGCTCGCAGCTTTAAAACCTAAAGACAAAAGAACACTAAAAACAAAACCAATTGCTGTGGAGTTGATTCCGGCTCATGGTGACCCCAGGAGATGCAGGGTAGACCTGTGGTCCACAGGGTTTTCATCGTTATCACCTTTCAGAAGCACATCACCAGGCCTTTCTTCCAAGGTACTTCTGGGTGGGTTCGAATTGTCAACCTTTTGGTTAATAGCTGAGCGCCTAACTGTTTGCACCCCCCGGGGACTCCTAAAAGAACACCAAATCCTGATAATCTACTTGGCTCCAAAAACATCCCTTTTGCCCCCTAAAATACCCTTGGTGCAGAGATAGCCTCAATAACGCTGTATTGTCAGACATGTACCAACATTTCAGCCACATCACATAGTTGTCTGGTACGGCTCTTTTCCGCGCACATCTGTCAACAGGGGAAAAATACACATTGGATACACAGGAGGTTCCCTCTCATCTTTCACAAAGGCCTTTATTCACAGAGGAGTCTGATTACCTTCAGTTTAGTTCCAACGCCATCTGTTCCAGAGGCCAGAAGAGGATCTTTGAAACTGGCTGCTTTCAAATCAAAAAGGCCAGCAAAACCTCCAAGATCAACCTCACAGCCTGTTGGAGAGGAAATTAATTACTTGCTACATTTTCGCAGACCAGTTAAAACATAATACTTCCTCATAAGAATGGCTGAAACAAAAGACACCTTCCCTGAGAATGGCTAGAAAGCACTGCGGGCTCAAAGAATTGATGAAGAAAGTAATTAAACATGAAAGAGGCATACATATCCTTTTGAATTTAACATCATGGATTAGAAATTCTTTCCTTGATATTAGAGATAAGAAGGAAGACTATGGGTTTGGCTTAAGTAGACTAAGACTTCACAGTAACCTGACATTAATTTAGAATATTTCCTTCAATTAAATATAAAGCCCAAATCAATTCACAATGTCTGTCCAATTTCATGAATTAGGAAAGTCAGGATCTGACTTACCTGGTCTGGAGGTGGCTCTTGCTAAAGGCTTAATTTTCTTGACCAGCATATCTCCAGCTGCAATATCTACCCCAGCTTCCTTGTAAGTCAGACCCCTAAAGAATTAAAGAAACAAAAAACAACACAACACTATCACCTCAATGTCAGGGAAAATGATTCTAATCTTAAAATACTACTTAAAGCAGAAGATATCCCAAGTGGCTTTGAATCCCTTAAGGTGTTCAGAAAGTTAAAAAAAAAAAAAAAAAAGGCCCACGCCTGGGCCCCATCCTTAGAGATTCTGAGGTCTGGGGCAAGTCTGGGACCCTGGTAGCACAGTGGTTAAGTGCTCAGCAGCCAACCACAAGGTCGGCAGTTCAAATCCACCAGCCATTCCTTGGGAACACTATGGGGCAGTTCCAGTCTATCTATAGGGTCGCTAGGAGTTGAAACTGACTCGACGGCAATGGGTTGGTTTTTTAGGGCAAGTTCTGGGATCTGAAATGTGTTTTAAAAATCTCCTCAGTCGATTCTATTGCATCACCTCCATTGAAAACCACTGCTTTAACTTTACTGTTTCCTCCAAAAGCCCTTCTCACAGGCAGCTAATAAGCTGATATTTTGCCACAATCTTTCTCTGTTTGATTTTGATAAGGGAAGAAAAAGAGTGCCAAAATCGAGGCAAAAAAGTGAAAATTAGGATTATGAGAACTCTACAAAGCAATCTCTGCACACTCAGACTGAGCTCTTACTGCAAAGATAGACGATGATGATCAGCTAATGATGCCCAGTGCGTGACTCCATTTGCTACAGCCCAGGGCCATCTCACTGGTGGGGGAGCGTCCATTTAGAGACCACGTTCATGAACAGCACTGTGAATTCAGTAGTCTTGCCTTGCAAAAAATGACAACTTTTGCTTACTGGGATGCAGTGATAAATGAAGAAATATGTGAAGTTTTATTAGAAAAAAGCTGCCTGGGTACAACTAGAGTTCAGAGCTGAGGCAGTTAACTCCAATAAAGTTGGCAAACCTGGGTCACTTTTAGATAGGAAACCAAGTCCTACTGGTTTAAAAAACTTTCTCTCTTGGTAATAACCAGCATTTATGCCTTTTCATTTTCTTCATCTTTAGCCTTAAATTACAGAAAGACTAGAATTAAGACTGCAGTCTTTTGAAATAGGTCATTTCAATGGAATATAGTTACTTCAAAATGAAAAATAAATTTTAGCTTATTTTAATGTTCTTGATTCTGAAAATATTCGTGTTTAAACTTTAAAAATTTGCCTCTTGGTAACAGCATATATAGCTTGAATTAAGTCATTGGAAATGTTTCATTTCTTCCTAATATTTATGACCCATAAAACCCAAAAAACTCATTGCAGTCAAGTCGATTCTGACTCATAGCGACTGTACAGGACAGAGTCAAACTGCTCCATACGGTTTCCACGGAGTGGCTGGTAGATTCGAACTGCCGACCTTTCGGTTAGCAGCTGAGCTCTTAACCACTGTACCATCAGGCCTCCTTATGACCCACAGATGTACTTAATAAACAGTATTAAATGTGATATACACTTAAATAATCAAAACACCCACACCTGTAGTTAATCGTTTATTGATTTTTACAAGGGAGTAACTGTACATACCAATAAATGAATCCATGAAGGGTCAAAAAATGCATTTCGGTAATAGATGTAAAGCGAAAGGTAGTGACCAAATGAACCTGCCAACACTCCCAGTAGAATCCAATCAAGTTACAGAAGTTAGATGACCAAAATTCTCATCCTGACTTCTTTTGACAAAACCAGGAACTATAATTTAAATACATCAATGATACTCACGTACATGACAACTGGAGGGATAAACATCCTTAATATACCACGATTTAGCCAAACTTCAGAATAAAGGGCTACCATGAAACTTCCATTTCATTTCAATACTGTAACAAGTTCTGTTTCAAACTAACACAATCGAAAGAGCAGGTCAGTCCACAGAGAGCAAAGAATACAGAGTACGGTGGTACAGGGTCACTGGAATTTTCTCCTTGGCCCTTTTAGGCCAGCTCTAAAACTGCGCTACAGTCGCCTCTGGAAGGACATTTTACCTGGGCTGCTGGAGGAAGGCTAGGGCACGACGGCCAATGTCCTTCCTGTAAACGGCTCCCTCAAACTTTATAGCAGCCAGTCCCTTCTTGGCCTCTTCAAGCGCTGACGGGAGATCTTCCCGGATGGCGGTTACTGTGAGGACTCTACCCCCGTTAGTCACCACTCTACCGTCCTTCAGGGCAGTGCCTGCATGGAACACCTCCAGCCCTAACGCCTGAGCCTCAGGAAACCCTGTAAGAGAGCACATTTGACCTATTACCCAAAATCACACTATTTTACACTCGTGAAGGGATTTTCAATTTTCAGAAGTTCCTTTTTTAATTCTTTATTTCATTTAAACTCATCTTCACAAGAATCCTATCAGGCAGGAGTTAATGTAAAACTAAAACCAAACCCATTGCCATCGAGTCAAATTCCGACTTATAGTGACCCACAGGACAGAGTAGAACTGCCCCACAGGGTTTCCAAGGCTGTAGATCTTTTCGGAAGCTGACTGCACATCTTTCTCCCGTGGAGCAGCTAGTGGGATCGAACCGCCGAGCTTTCAGTTAGCAGCTGAACGTTTAACCACTGTGCCACCAGGGCTCCTGAAATTAATGTAATACAATAGTAAATAAAATAGATTCCTTTTTGCCTCTGTTCTGCTTTAGGGTGGTAACTACATTCCTAAAACTAGGGCTACCAGAAATCTCATTATAAAAACTACTGTTTCAGTGAGGAAGAGAAATGAGATTAAGGCTTCAGAAGTTTGAGACTTGAAAACACAGTTATCAGAACTTAAAAATTAAAAAATCTCTCTCTACATAGACACAAAACATAAACACTGCATCCGACAACATCTATTTTTCACTCAAGAGTAAGAAAAATTTTTTTTTTTAATCATAGTCGTTTAGCTAAACTTGCTTTTTTTTTTTTTTTTAATAACAAATAGGATCAATGCAACAAAAAACCTATTCCCTTAATATGTCAACTGTAAAATTTTAAGACAAATTTGACTTAAGTTCTGGGTTCAGCATAAAATCCAGGGCTTCACTTTCTTTTGAATTATTTTCAAGCTCTCAGGTAAAATTTTACACTAAAAACATAATTAGACTATATTTCTATATTTTAAAAAGACTGAAGTAGATTGTTTATACAAAGATAACCCCTTCTCTCAATTAAAAAACAAATACAAGCAAACAGAAAACTTCCCTGTATCCTTAGTTTTCCTTTTCCCTTTTTGGCATCATATTTGGTAGCATGATGAGATGTCTTCTTTAATTTTTTGATAAATTTTTATCTATTTTCACAGGTGCCCAGTACAAAGGTTTGCAAAGTTGGAAATGACTGTTGCGGATATGTCTCAATATTAGACAAATTTCACCAATATAAGGGATGCTGGCTCTATCCTTTCTTCCTTTGCCCATTTCAAAGGCCATTAATTCTCCACTGTCTAGTGTCCACGTGTGGGGTTCCTAGGACAACAGACTTGTCTGGGCAAGACAGCCAGTAAACGGTGTGGCTGGGTATTGGGGGGCCAAACTACAGCCTGTTGGGGTCATACAGGTCTGCTTTGGAACTGGAACTCAACTGGCATTTTAAAATACTGTGTAATTTAACATTATTTAACTAGATCCCTCACCTCCTGTAAAGAGAAGGCTATACTTTTGAAAAGGAGACCTGGTGGCACAATGGTTAAATGCTCGGCTACCAACCAAAGATGGGGAGCTCAAACCAACCAGTGGCTCTGTGGGAGAAAAGACCCAGCGATCCGCTGCCGCCAAGATTACAGCCCAGGAATCCCTATGAGGCACTTTTACTCTGTCCTACAGAGTCAGTATGAGTCGGAAGCGACTCGAGGGCACCCAACCACAACAACACTGAAACTGTTTGAATCCTGCCATTCAAGTGACTATTGAGTGCACTGCTAATGGGGTGGGGGTGGGGGTGGGGCAGGGAGGTCAAACCACAAGAGCTTGTCTGTATCGGTAATCCTTCAGAGACCATGTACGTTACTGATAAAGTTTATGCTAATGTTCCTGTAACTCTCACACACTGCCATTATCACCCTGGCTCTGGGTGGGTGGGAGTGAAGAGCAGCACCGGGTGACCCTCTGCAACTTTGGTAAGGCCCACGTAGGTCTTCCTTGTGCAGAAAGAGAAATGGACAGCAGTTCTTCAAACACAGTGACTGTGGGTATCTGAACACACACATCCAACAAGCAACGTGGTTATGTTAAGACCCCTGAAAGGTTCCGGATGGTTTCACGGCCTTAAAAAGGAGCAGAGCATGAGTGTGGGAGGGGGTCTCCTGTGGCTCTGGCCATCTGTCACACCATCCGTCACCCTCCTGCTCCCTGCTACTCACCTGTGATCTCCACACCCTTGGTGTAGTCTCCAGGATAACCTTTACTTGCCATGACGACAGTGATGGCGGTGCCGTGTTCCAGCCAAGTGGGCAGAGCTGTGCAGAGCAGGCCATCCAAGGTGGACTGGATCACCTCATAAAGGTCGCTTTTAAGAAGTGGGAGGATTACCTGGACAGACATGATCAACACAGCACATGAGACAAATCTTAGCTTTCCTCAGACATTTTATTCACTGGGATACTAGCAGAACTTGCAATATTTTTCAAAGGTAATTCCCTCCAGGCTGATAAATCCTGAACAAAAACACCACTCTTCTACAAACTAACACTTTAATATGTTACTGTTATACGTTATATTAATCACGTATATATAAAAATATTAACGTTACCCACTTGGCACTCTGGGTCACCAAAACGACAATTAAACTCCAGAACTTTGGGGCCGTCCTTGGTCAGCATTATACCAGCGTACAAAACACCTTCATTAAAAAGGAAAAAAAATAAAGGAATCAATGATGAAGGAATTGTACTGTGACCATGAAGTCTAGAATATAAATTTCTAACACTCAAAGTTCTGTAATAACCATGACAAATGTTACAACCATGGTCAGTTAAAAGGTCGTAGAAAAGACATAGTTTCGCCAGAGGTGCAAAGTTACTCTATAAATAACATCCACAATAACATCAACGTTCTTACCTGTGTATGGCGTACCCTCCTGCTGCATGCCATCCACTGTCCTCTGAAGAATGGTATTGTTAATTCTCAGTAACAAATCCCTGGAAACCTGGCAACACACAGAAATACGTGAATGCAATTGATATTAAAGAAAAAAACACAAACAACCTCCAGTCGTATCACGTGGAAGAACAAAAGCAGAAGATGAGAACTATCACTTACTGACTACCTGAAATGGGCTAATCACTTCCAATTCATAAACTTGAAAAATCCTCACGACGAGCCTATCAAGTGGGTATTTTAGCTTTATTTTTATAGAACAGGAAAGAAGAGGTCTGAGGTAAAACATAATTCCCACTCAAGGCCACACAGCTAGTGCTGCTATCTGCATGCCTCCAGTGCTTATGTGCACACACGCTCTTTTTGCTCTTCCTCAATGCCTTCCCAAGTACACACACATGCTTTAATTTCGTAAGCAACGGGTGCTCTGATAACCAGCACAAGCAGAGGCTGATTCCATGATTACTGTCAACCAAGAGTGCCAGCCCCCATTTCAAGACCAGGTCAATTGTTCAGTCACCTCTTACCACTAAACCCACAGATTTCCAAAAGCAGACACCCTTAAAAAAGCTCACCCAAAATAGTTCCCTGAAACATAATAATGGGAAAAAAAAAACAGTCGTCTCCCAACCTGAGGCTCCTTTGTATCCATCCCTTATACTCTATGCACAGTTCACGAGTATATATACTTAAAAATCTGAGTTTATAAATTTAATTGTCAAAATTAAACTCATAGGCACTTCTTAAATTAAAATCACTACTACCAAATGGTAGTTTCAAAACTTCTACCCAAACCAAACCAAATCCACTGCTGTCAAGTCAATTCTGACTCACAGCAACCCTACAGGAGACAGAACAACTGCCCCATAGGGTTTCCCAGGTTGTGAAGCTTTACGGAATCTTTCTCCTGCAGAGCGGCTGGTGGGTTTGAATCGCCAACCTATTGGTTAGCAGCCGAGCGCTCTAACCACTGCACAACCATGGCTCCTTCCAATACTTACAAAGTCAAAATAAAAAACCCAGTTATGTATGGTTTTGTCTTTAATCTTCTAACACAGAAAAATACCTAAAAGGCACTATAAGCGCAAGTGATCATGACTGTCATCAGTGAAAAGGGGTGAGTTTCTGAAGTGCTCATTTACTGAGAATGCACTCAGACAGCACAGACTTCTCCTAAACATTGCTCAGAAACTGTCTGCAAGTACACTTCGTCAATCCTTTAGGAAGCAGCAGGACCAGAAGAACAAATTATGATCTCACTTGGTTTTCAATTCACGTCTCACACAGAGACACGCACGCGCACACACCCGTGTGCATTTATTCAGCACTTCCATCCTGGGCCCTGGTCGTCTAAGGATGAACAAGAGATTAGTCGAGACCCCAACAGGCTCCCATGGATTAGAAACAGGACTGCGGGGGGGAGGGGAGGGTTGGGAAGATCCATTCAGCTGGCTTAGTTTCGTTCTTTAGAGGCTTTTGGAAATAGAAAAGGATGCTTTTAGCGACATGGCCTCTAACCACCACAATTCCCCACAAAATGAGACCAGAAGAGCTACTTTACACTTAATAGAAAAAACCAACCTGTTGATCACTAATTTACAGAAAAACAAAACCAACAAAAAAACCACGAAAGAACAGCTTTTTGAGCAGACCAATTATTAACGAATTTCAGCTGAGCCTATGCAAAGTACCTGAGGTGTCGGACAATAGGCTCCCATGCCCCCTGTGTTGGGGCCGACATCTCCTTCCAGCAATCGCTTATGGTCCTGTGCTGGGGGCATCGGGGCCACAGTTCTTCCATCAGTGAAACACAGACACTACAGAGAAAACAAAACAGTCCACTTAGTTAAACGCCAGAAAAGTAAAAAAATAACTTACTAAGACAGATTACATGTACCGTACCTACTCTTGGCCCTGGTGGCACAGTGGTTAAGTGTTTGGCTGCTAACCAAAAGGTTGGCAGTTCAAAACCACCAGCCACTCCTTGGAAACCCTATGGGGCGGTTCCACTCTGCTCTATGGGGTCGCTGTAGTTGGAACTGACTCAGCTATGGGGCGGTCCACTCTGCTCTATGGGGTTGCTGTAGTTGGAACTGACTCATCTATGGGGTGGTCCACTCTGCTCTACGGAGTCGCTGTAGTTGGAACTGACCCAGCTATGGGGTGGTCCACTCTGCTCTATAAGGTCGCTGTAGTTGGAACTGACCCAGCTATGGGGCAGTCCACTCTGCTCTATGGGGTCGCTGTAGTTGGAACTGACCCAGCTATGAGGCAGTCCACTCTGCTCTATGGGGTCGCTGTAGTTGGAACTGACTCAGCTATGGGGCGGTCCACTCTGCTCTATGGGGTCGCTGTAGTTGGAACTGACTCAGCTATGGAGTGGTCCACTCTGCTCTACGGAGTCGCTGTAGTTGGAACTGACTCAGCTATGGAGTGGTCCACTCTGCTCTACGGAGTCGCTGTAGTTGGAACTGACTCAGCTAGGGGCCGGTCCACTCTGCTCTATAGGGTCACTGTAGTTGGAACTGACTCAGCAACAACGGGTTTAGTTTTTCGGTTTTACCTACTCTCAGAGGCAAAGTTTTCTTATTTGAAGTATAATGAATCAAAAAATGAATAATCCTAAGCTACATACAACAAGAACCAGAAGATGTATATTCAACTTCTAAAGGATCTGTAATTTTTGAGCTAGGTTAGGGAAAAACTAAGCTGCTCTCAAAATAAAGTATTTCAACTTTAAACTTGCTGGCATTAAAATCTTGTTTAGGGTAACTTCAGTCCACTATTCATTGTACAAGAAACCATGTGAAACGAAACGCACGATGTTTGGATTAATCCAAAATCTCAATAATGTGTGTGTGGTATGTTCTGTGTCCCCGCCTGTACATGAGAGATGATTTAAGAAGTTTAAGTTCTTTGTTTTGTTTGTGTTCCAAATATAAAACATACACAAATTCCTTTGTAACTGCTGGGCTTATGTTTTTAGATGGAGCAATCAGAGTAAATCCGGTCTTCTGAGGGGCTCGTAAGTCAGGTAACACAGCTTCTTACAAGCCATAAAAGCCAAAAGAGAGAAATATACGTACAGACACCTCTTCTCCTTCAAGAAGCTCTTCAACGACAATTGTTTCTCCAGCTGCTCCAAAAGCTTTGTCCTAAGCATAGAGTTTCAGCAAAAAAAAAAAATCCGTAAACTTCTAAGCTTTTAGTCTTCACCTAGCTGCCTTCTGCCATTTTCCACTGTCTGTATTATGAACCAGCACACTGGCCGTTCCCCTACCTGTCCTTTCCGAAAGCCTCAAAGGCACAAACAAATGTGATTTTTAACGTGGCCACGATGCAGAGCTGGCACTGGTACAGACGAAATGACTACAGTTACTAATGCTTCCCTGAGAGCTGGCTTTCAAGTTTCAAATAAACTAATGGAAAAACGGATGTTTTCATTATCACCATGCAACCCTTATTCCCGACTACGTATGTTTGCCTACAATAATTACACCAAGGCACGCCTCTGAAGGCAGATTTATACGAGGGAAGAAACACTCACAACGGTGAAGATGGAGCACAAAAGCAAAGCAAAATATATGACTTTGTTGCTTTACTTCTCTTAGACTTGGGATACACGGGACAAGCACTTTCGTCCTCATGGCTGATTAGAGAATTTACTCATGTGCTCTATAGTCCGAAGATTTTCTGTCCTTTCAGCAGCAGACAACAAAGGATGCTAGAACTTATTTCAGAAGAACTGAGTCAGATTTAGCCATCAGTGTAGATCTACAATACCCTTTCATAGAGATGGATAATAATACGTACTACCATGAACAATAAATTACCTGCATGTTTGCTAGACGTGTTTTCCCCCATCTTGAGGAACATTTAGAGTATTTATTCAATAGGACAAACATCGTATAATCCCACTTACATGAGCTAACTAGAACGGGCAAGTGTATAGACACCAAAGTTTAAAAGTGAACAGGAACAGGAGGGAGGGAAGGGGAAAAAGGAACTCAGTGCTCAGGGGACACTAAGCTTCTATCAAGGGTGATGGGAAAATGTGGAAACGGACAGCGATGACGGCTTAAAAACACGACGAATGGAATTCAGGTCACTGAATTGTACATGTAAGAAATATTAAAATGGCAAGTGTTTCGTGACATATATTTTTAAAATTAAAAAAAAAAAAAAAAGTACCCAGCGTGAATAGAAAGCTAAACTTTTCCAGGAGAGACAGGCTACCTGCATGATGTCCTGCACAGCTCTGCAGGCCTCTTCTTTGCTCTTGGCAACAATCACTCCTTTCCCGGCGGCAAGACCACTGGCCTTCACGACCAAGGCAGGGAAGTCGGCGCTGTGAAGACAGATTAACCCTCAACACCCAACCAGTCAAGGCAGGGAAGTCGGCGCTGTGAAGACAGATTAACCCTCAACACCCAACCAATCAAGGCAGGGAAGTCGGCGCTGTGAAGACACATTAACCCTCAACACCCAACCAATCAAGGCAGGGAAGTCGGCGCCGTGAACAGATTATCCCTCAACACCCAACCAATCAAGGCAGAGGAAGTCGGCGCTGTGAAGACAGATTAGCCTTCAACACCCAACCAAGCCTTACAGTTTCAATTTTTAAAGTGCTTTGGGATTCTGTAACAATATGTTCTAGCAACAACTGTTGCATATCGCGATTCTGATGTACTTCCTACCAGGATTTTCTCCTACGCATTTCTTTACAGTTGCGATTGTAGCAGTACATTCAGTTTTGCTTTTTTCACTTATCATGGCATCACATAGGCTTTTTCTGTTATAAAAAAAACCTCTGTAAGAGTAAAGCAGATGTATAGAGTGGATCAGAATCAACTTGACGGCAGTGGGTTTGGTTTTTTTTTTTAACAGAGCTAATATGGAAAGATCTTTAAGATACAAAGTAGTGAATTATGTTCCTGTTTACTTAGAAGATGTGACGATCTTAAGACAATACAAGTATGCAAACACAGACCGTTTCTGGAAGTCCACATAAAGAACTACTGTTGCTAGTTTCTTCTGTTGAGTGGGACTGGAGAACCGGAAAACAAAACTGTTACTTACCCAGATCACCTAGGTACTACTAAATAATCATATTCAGTGTCTAAGAAACCCTGTAGAATCATCAAAGGAATGAAATTGATCCAAATGAAAGAAAAACATACCAAGTATCCGGGAGAAGTGTCAGTTTAAAAACAACAACAAAAAAAAAAAGGCAAAAGAACGTACCCACCAGCATTCACTAACAGCTCAATGTTTTTCCCATTAGAGAACAAAGAACGTTTAATTTTAAGATTTGGAGTTGGAGTACAGCAAGAGACCAAGCGATAATTCTTCACTCTGGTTAATTATTTACAAAAAAAAAATCAATGCCTTTATGTTGGAAAATGCCGCTGTGTCTGTCGATTTGGCTTTGAAAAGAGCACACAAACGCAGAACCAGAGGTGCTTTTTTTTTTTTAAGGAACTACTCAGTGATTACCCATCACCGTCGAGTTGATTCACACTAATAGCGACCCTGCAGGACAGAGAACCCATAGAGCTTCCAAGGAGCGGCTGGTGGATTTGAACTGCTGACCTTTTGGTTAGCAGCTGAGCTCTTAACCACTGTGCTACCAGGGCTCCTACTCAATAATACATACAAAGAAATCATCTTTCTGCAAGGTCACAAGATCATATACACAATATAGGTGTAAGATCCCACTTTATTTTGATGTTGGAAAAAGGTGACCTACTTAACATCCTCAATTTCTTTTTTTCCATAACCATACTCTACATTTGTGACTTAGCCTAAGCACCTAACATTACATTTTGAACATAAAAGAGATCTGTGCATTTAAATCTCACAACAAAACAACTGCCCTTTGAGGCAGCCTTCCACCCACCTCATGATGAAGCTGCAGGCTTCTTCAGGTTTGGTGAAAGCTCTCCACTTTGCAGTTGGGATTCCATGTCGATCCATAAACTCTTTGGCAAACCTTTTGCTGGACTCCAGTTGAGCTGCTTCTGCTGTGGGGCCAAAGCATCGCACGCCCGCAGATGTGAGGTTACCAACAATTCCTATTGAGAAAACGAGGAGCCTTAAGTGAACCAAGGCCTCTCTGGGGCTTTTCACACTGAAGATGAAGTAGCATTAGACCAAGTCTCTGTTCAAGGCTCAGCTGGACAAAGCAGATGACTGGTGGCAGAGGACAGTTACGTTTTTCAAGTTGTCTACCAACTATAAACAAAAACGTTACTAATGTAATTCAAATCCAGCAAAGGTTATTCGTTATATTCAATTATAGGGCGTATGAATGAGACTGAGGACTGAACCCAGTCCACTTCTGCTACCTTATACATGTGTGAGTTATCCAAAGGTGGCTAAAACTCGGGAGACCAAGGGCACACACAGAACGTTCCCATGGTTACAAATCTGACCCTGCACTCATCTCATTACTGTCTGAGAAAAAAATCTAGGATGCGTAAATTTCAGCAGCGTGAAATTTCTTTCCCCACGGGACGTTGTATGAGCAGTCCTCGTCTGTTAAACTGAGTCAGAGCAGGAGATCTTTAACCTCCCGTCGGCACTGCACGTGCTGTAACAATAAACAGAAATGAACTTCACCAGCAGCCAGAGGCGCCTCCGGTCCAACCACCACGAATTCTATTTTCTCATCTTTGCAGAACTGAGCGAGGGCAGCGTGATTGCTGACTGAGACGGCTGTGAAGGAAACAAACCAACAGCCCACGTTAGTCACAAATACTTCTTGCTGAACAGAGCGTAATGCTAAAATCTAAGCACTGTCCTTTGCTACGCCCGTTACCTGTGGGTTTTATTGTTACAGACAGAGTTTCACCATGAGAAATTCAGAACAGAGAGCATTAGCTCAGATTTCTGCCATCACTGTGGCCACCTAATCTACCAACGAGCTGTGAAGTGCTCTCTTGACCACGGTGTTCACATCACCAGTGTTGACCACACAGGAAAACAGAAAGCCTTAACACGGAACAGACTCAGGACTGGTCTTTTAATGTCATTCAATTAAGATTTATCAAGAGCTCACCATGTGCTAGGTAGGAGGCCTGGTGCTACAACGGTTAAATGCTTGGCTGCTAACTGAGAGGCTGGCAGTTGGAACCCACCAGCCACTCTATGGGAGAAAAGACCTTGACGACTGGCTCTGGTAAAGGTTAACCAAAACCAAACCCATTGCCGTTGAGTCAATTCTGACTTACAATGACCCTACGGGACAGAGTAGAACTGCCCCATGGTTTCAAAGGAGCGGCTGGTGGATTCAAACTGCCAACCTTTTGGTTAGCAGCCAAGCTCTTAAACACTGCTCCACCGGGGTCCCCTAGGAAACTCTATAGGGCCGTTCTACTCTGTCCTACAGGGTTGCTATGACTTGGAATCAACTCGACAGCACAAGATAACATGTACTAGGTGTTTAGTCTTCCAGCCTGAGACAAGCTAGGAAGAAGGGCCTGGTGATCGACTTCTGAAAACCAGCCAACGAAAACTCGATGCATCACAGTGGTCTGAGCTGCGACCAGTCATGGGGATGGCGCAGGACCAGGCAGTGTTTTGCTCTGTGCATACGGGATCGTCATGACTTGACGGGCAGCTAACAAACGTGCTAGGTACTATCCTGGGCACTGGGGCTAAGACATTAACACACACACAGCGCCTACATGTACTGTGCCTACATTCCCCTGTGGGAAACTTGGGTAATAAACACCCAAACAAAAAAACTACCAGGCATGAACAGAGTAAGCAAATAAAGTGCACTGGGAGGTTATTCCTGGCTGAGCCACGATGGTCATCTCTGAGGCAGAGACGTTTAAGCTAAGAACTGAATGACGATTTTAGGTAAGACCCAGCTCTGGTCTCCAATTTTCTCTTCTGATGCAGCTCTAAGTAACCAGCAGTAGCTTCAGCCACATAGTAGGCCTGGGTCCCATAGGTGGTCTCTGTCTCACTCTCCCTGGACCACCATTCTTGAGCTGGCTGAAGCCTCAGTCACTCTGCACATGGGGTAAGAGATAATATTTGTGATGTCTATGGTACATGTCTCATGTCCACAAAGAGACATGAATTCTCCATCTACAGGAACTGCCTGACTGAAGTAGGATGAAGCACTCTGTACTCTGGGTTAATAGCTCCACGTTATCAACAGTGCTGAATAGAGCTGACTACATCAGCATCCGTGCAGCAAATAAGAGACACACACCTAACCTCGGCAGCCGCCAGTGCTAGCAGCCTCATGACAATCTTGGGAGACTTTGATGTATGATCTCAACTACAGCTTAAAAAAGTATACCAGTTCTCCAGTAAACAGACTCAGCACCTTACCCCAGAGCTAAAACCCCAGAAAAGCAGGCATTTTTTTTTTTTTATTATTTTTGGTCCTACATATACAACCATCTTCTTGCAGTTTGTGGCTTGTTGGGTCTACTTTCTTCTCTCCACAAATTCTATGGGCTACATAGGGTACTAGGCAGCGTGGACACGATGCAAAACAAGACAGACAAGTTCCCTGCCCTCACACAACTTATATTCTAGTGGGGGAAAAGGAGAAACAACAGAGAGGGAAAGAGCAAAAATAAACAGTGGCTCATGACAGAAAACAAATGAAATGGAAGTGGAAATTTGCTGTAGGCAGAAACTTCAGGAAAGGTCTCTCTGAGACTTAACATTTAAGTTGAGGCCTGAATGATGAGGAGTCAAGCATGCCAGGGAGTGGGAACAAATGCTAAGGCCAAAACAGCTGTTTGGGAAATTGGCAGGAGAGCATGGACGAAGCACAGCGAAAAGAAAAAACAGGGGACGTAAAAGATCAGACTGGAAAAGCAGGAGGAAGCCTGCTTTCTAAGACACGATAAAGAGTTTGGGTTTTTAGCTCAAGTTGCTATGGGAAGCCACTGAAGAGTTTAATGTAGCGTATGAATTGATGATTTTTTAAATTTTTTTTTATCAGCTGAAGAGATAAGGGTTGAGATCTATTATGCAGTTAGAATTACTAAGATTTACATTTTTTCAAGCACTGCTCAACTTTTCATTTCTAAAAATATACATCAAAATGCCTCTAACCTATATCAGGTCCTTGTTATTTTTTCAAATAACGTGTTTTATAAGACACAGGTTTAAAATGATTTAAGAAAATGCACATTCTGAAGAACAGGATACCTTAAGTTTACTACATATGCAAGTATTCCGATTACCATGTGAATTTTAAGGTTGACAAAACAAAACATCTGAACAGCAATCTATCGACAGATGTGGTTGACAGTTTCTCATGAACAATAACTCCTACTCCTGGCTTTTAAACCATGATTACCGGCATTTGAAATCTTTTCGGAGCAAGCAGTGCCTGCGTTTCCTGGGGCGACCAGCACTTGTTTGACATGAGGAGACTGCGCAAGTTTCCAGGCCAGAGTGTGCTCCCTTCCTCCACTGCCAATTACAAGCACTCGGGCTGCCATTGCTGTCTGCAAAGCAGGAACTCAGAAGACAAATGAACGCTGCAGAAAAAAAACCACAATTGATATTTTCAAATGGACATCTTTTAGAAATCATGATTTGTAAATGAATCTGGGGATTTATTATAATTTTTTCATTGTGCTTTAGATAAAGGTTTACAGAATAAATAGTTTCTTATTAAACAGTCAGTACACATGTTATTTTATGACACTGGTTAAGAACCTGTGTCAACACTCTCCCTTCTCGACCTTGAGGACTTCTTTTTGGTGAAAATATACATAGCCAAAGTCACACCATTTCGAAAGGTTCTACGTGTACAATTCAGTGACATTGATTACATTCTTCCAGCTGTGCTGCTAGGCATTTATTTTTGAATAAAAAAATTGAGATTCATAAATTGAAAAACGTACTACAAGGGTATGGGATGTATTTTCAATGAAAGCATGTGTACTAAAATATCTGATATACACTTATCTTTAAATCTACATAAAATATTGCATTCACCTGGAGTAACAGTCGCAGTATAATAGATCAGGAGCCCTGGTGGTGCAGTGATTAAGAGCTCGGCTGCTAACGGAAAAGTCGGCGTATATTCACCAGCCGCTCCCTGGAAACCCTATGGGGCAGATCTATGCTGTCCTACAGGGTCGCTGTTAAGTCGGAATCGACTCAAGGGCAACTGTTTGTTTTTAATAGTTGATCACTGAAACAGCATTACTTAGCCCGAAGCAATCTATATCAGGGTGGTTAGGAAGCCTGGCTACTGAGCCAGAGTGCCAGGGTTTTCGTTGAGACTCTGCCCTTTAACAGTTGGGAGCCCTTAAGTAACTTAACTAACCTTCTCGGGCCTCAGTCGCCTTATATCTAAAGTGACCAACTTAAAACGAGAACGAGAGCCAAGTAAAACTATTTCAAAGGATTAGCTGAATAATAAATATAGAAACCAATCACAAAAGTGAACCTAATTACTGTGTTGCAGACAATGGATGCACAAGAAAACACGATAAAATGGATACATTAACGTAAGTCCATGGCCTAAAAAAGATAGACAAAAAAGGTAAAGCCCAGGTATCTAAGAAAGCAGAAAGAGTGAAAGATCAAACGTAAACCCCAGTTAAGCGCAAGTGAAAAGCACGTGGCCAACCTCCACCCCTGCATTCAGAAACAAAGACGAAAACTGCGACGGCCGAGCCAGCGTGCACAGCTGCACCGAGCTCCTGACACGGAGCAGCCACACCAAGCGCAAACATGCTTTCTCTCAAGGCGGAGGGCCTGATTACGCACCGAGCAGGAGGCCGCGCTGCCCCTTGCACACACGCCCGGCGCTCCAAGCTGGGCCGCCGCGGCGGAAGTCGGCCGGCCTGCCTGCATCCGGCGCGCACCCGCCCGCCACCCGCGCCCCTCCCCGCCCCGGGCGGGCGCCGCCGCCTCATTGGCCTGCCCGGCCCTCGGTCCCCGCGGCGGGGTAACCCAGTGTGGTCCCCGCCCCCGGGCGCGGCCTGAGCCTGCTCCCCAGCAAAGCCGTCAAACCCCGCACGTTCAGAATGTGACACTAACAGTGGGCGCCACGTAACGTCGCCGCTCCAGCCGTGAGGAGGGGGCGCTCCTGAATCTAAGCCGAGGCTTAGCTCATTGTACGCTCTAACGAGGGTCGGCACTGACCAGCTACCGCGGAAAGCCTCGTGACGCGCCGGGCTCCTGATGAGTGTAGAATGCACCAAGCTTTGAGAGCCGGTGGCTCAGGACCTCCGGCCTCTGGCTAAGAGATTGAGGTCGATGATAGGATGCAATGGGAGACAGGCCGGGTGAAAGCGTGTCCTCCGCATTCACACAAAAGAGCGCGGGCCGACTAGTGCTTTCCCGGATGCATCTCCCTGACAAAACTGAACTTGGCGCCACACAGGAACGCCTACAGGCCCCGTGTCAAAATATTGCCCCCTTTCTTCATCGCATTTAATATCGGGTATCTAGTCGCTAAGTAAAACTATTAAACACTACCCCCGCCTTCCGGAAACACTGCTGGGGACCGACAAGCGGACATAGCCGCCTCAAAACAGATTTCTCCTGTAATGGCGCCTGCGTCAGACACTAACATGGCGGACATTGTCGTGCGCGGCGCAAACGTCAGCAGCTCTACCCCAGGCGCTCAGGAACAGCGGAGCAAAGAAGAGCCGTGCTCACTGATTGGCTCGACGGCGAAGCGTGCCTATACCGTCGTTCCTACAGGAGCCAATCAAGAAGCGGAGAGACGGAACTGGCCGCAGCGCCGCCTCCCGAGGCATGCTGGGAGCCTGGAGGACTAGCGAGGAAGAGTTGAGAGAACGGAGCGGACGCCATGGCGACCAACATCGAGCAGATTTTTAGGTCTTTCGTGGTCAGTAAATTCCGGGAAATTCAACAGGAGCTCTCCAGGTAAACACTTTCTAGACTGTTCTGCTCCCAAGGGTCCGTTAGGGCCCGATGTAGCCTTCTATGGCGCCTTTCTTTAGAGACGCCGTCGTTCCTCGGCTCAGGCCCCGCTACAGCCCCGCCTGGGCCTGGGATCCATTTTCCGGCTTCCCCTCCCCCATCCGCTCCTTCCTTCTCTGCGAGGAACTTCACCCTTTCTGAGGTAACCTTCGCCTCCCTCATCCAGACCGAGTTAAGATGCTCGTTCTTCTCTCCTGGCTGGTCACCCCCCGCGCCTTGGCGACTCGGAGGCCTGCTTGGCCACCGCGGCCGGGCCCAGTTCCCTCCTCAGCTCCGCCTCCGCCGCCGCGGCTCCCCTCCCCCTCTCCGCCGATTTCGCCGGCCGGTGTCGGGGACCGGAATGGGTCTCCAATGGCCGTTTCTTGGGTAATCTTGAGTCCGCTTTGTTATTGTAAGCTTCAGACTGTTTCGGAGTCAGCATTCATTAATTGGATTATTCGGGCCCTGGTGTCTTATGATATCCATCCGTCCGTATTCTAATAAGATTGAAATGGAAATAGCTTGCAGTAGTTCGCTGTTTTGTCAAAATATTCGAGGTGAGCATGGTAGGGGACTTTGGAATATTAGTAATTTTATAATTTTAACAAGTGGAAAGTGGGCTTTGTGTGTAGATTTGTTTTTTTTTTCCCACTCCTGCCCCAACTGACATATTCAACCAAGGCGGTGCTTTTATTGTCTCCTGTTACACGTTAGGTAGTTTACGCTTTATTCCGCGAAAATTGAAAGGGAAGTGGTTTCCAAAGAAATAGTTGTTTAGTCAGAAAGGAAAACTGTGTGGGTCGTGTTGTTCAGTGATTTTCTTAATATTTTTGCTCTGTATAAAATGCTACTTTCAAGTATAGAGGTAGGAAAGAAATTTTGAGACAAGTATTTGAGTTTAAATGTTTTTGTTAATTATGTTTTAAAAGTAGAGAACAAGAGCAATAAGTTAAAAAAATCTGTCGAAAAACGTAATTGTAAATTAAGCGCTCAAACATGGGATTATTGGGGCAATGGAGTAATATTGCTAGAATTGTTCAAAGTCTTATTTTTGCGGGGTATATTGTTTTCTAGGTGGGAGATGTATCTGCTCATTACATGGTTTTCTAAAAAAATCGTGATATGCTAGTGCTTTTAGGTTAACGAGAGAAAACTTGAGTAGAGAGTGTAATTTTCCTGAAAACTCTTAAATAGTTGTATGCAGTAAGTCGTGTGTTTGCTTAGTGTGTCTTGTTTTGAAATTATTAAAAGTTAGTTTTTTAAATAGAAAATAGATGTTTTATTACTGCAGAAAGTTTCAGAAACAAAAAGGAAGAAAATAAAACTACATAGTTATTGGTGCTATGTTCCTTTATTTTTTTCCTGTGTCAATGCACATATATAATTATTTATTATATGTATTTGTTATGTGAAACATGATTTTTTTTTTATATTGTATTTTGTCTAATAGATAAACAAGTGTGTATTACTACAGTGTCAGTATTTTGTAACGTTGTTCATGGCTGCATAGAATTCCATTGTAGGAATTATTTAGGTGGTTTGATATTTTCATTGCTTTTTAGTAATTTCAATTTGCATACTGGTAGCAGTCATAAAAATTGATAGATAAGATGCAACCATGGTAATTTCCTCATAGGTTGACTTTTTTTTAGTGTACTTTTCTGATTTTTCAATCTGGGGTCCTTTAGAGAAGTAGTTACGTAACTGTAAGTGCCTAGGAAAAATAAAAAGAAGGGCTTCAGAAAGCCTAAAAAGAATATTAAACAGAGCAATTTATTACTGGGGAAATATATAGCTTCTCCTCAAGCAACATGTAATGTGTTATCTGTCTGAAAGCAAATTTTGGATTACTTACCATTTCGTTGAATTTTTTTTTCTGCCATCTGCTTTTAGGTACATCAGTGTGGGTAATGAAGCTGATGTTTAGATATTTAAAATAAGTAATGTAATTATTGTATGTAGTTGGTGGTTAAGAGGATGCTCTGGTTTTGAATACCAGCTTCAACTCTAAGTAGCTGTGTCACATTCAGCCAAGTTTCTTGTTCTCTCTGTTTCATTTTCCTCACCAAATGAGAGTAATAGTATGATCATAGAGGTTTGTTAGGATTAAATGAGTTAAAAATGTGGAAGAGTGTGACACCTTGTTAACAGTCGATAAATGTTAATTTTTATGCGATTCGCTGTATTAGAAAACCAAATGTTCCCTGTTAACATTTACCTACTGAATATTTTTGTTTTTTGACGAGACCTTTATCAGGTATTGGAGCATAATTGTTGTGTTTTCAGTTAGCTAAAATTGAATATGTTGAAATTATTTGTTTTTTCAAAACAATTTTGCTAATTTATTCAAAAGTAGTAAAAAAAAAAAGTGTAAATGACGTGTTCTTATGTTTGTCAAGATTTTGTGGCCTTGTGTATTGAAAATATGTTACACTGTCCACCTATTTATTCTTGGTATAACAAATTATTGCTTATTTTACGTGAGTTTTTTTAAACACCAGAAAATATTTTAATATTGGAATTTTTCATAACTGGGCTAAAATTTCATACATGTATTTTTCTTTTTAAGCTTTGTGACATTCTATTAGCAGTCTAAACCTGATCTGAGGCTACAGGTTATGTTATTCTTTTTTACTCTATACGTGTGTGGCTAACGTTTGTGTTTCAGGATACTGTTGAGGTAATGGTGATCTATGCACAGGTGTAGCTTTATTGTGGCCATAGTTTCTACTAATGCTAGGTCATGTTTTTCTTTGGATTTGTGATTTGGTTCTTAATAGTTTTTGTTCTTGAGAGAAATACCTAGGTAACCCAAAAGCCTCAATTTGAAACTTTGGGAATTATTATTATTATTTTTTTTAAAAAAGGTGAGTTTACTTTCACAGTTCTGAAAACTTTAATAAGTAAATGTGTAAAAATGAAAACGTACCAGTTATAAGTAGATAATGTTAAGGCAGTACTGTTGCTGGGAATATCATCTGAAAAATACAAAAAAGGTGAATTGTATGAACAATCTGATATAAAATTATTTTAATTGAACTATGAATATTGATTTTATTGTATGGTGTATTAAAAATATTAATTTTGATAACTTTTCTTGTCAAGTGGACGGAATGAAGGCCAGCTGAACGGTGAAACCAGTACACCTATTGAAGGCAACCAGGCAGGTGATTCAGCTGCTTCTGCCAGGAGCCTACCAAATGAGGAAATAGTGCAGAAGATAGAGGAAGTACTTTCTGGGGTTTTAGATACTGAACTACGATATAAACCAGGTAAGTTGGAGATAATCAGCTATCTCAAAAATTTTGTTTTAAGGTTTTTTTTTGAAATCTGAATGTTAATATATTTTGACTGCAGGGTATTTAAAATGTCCGTTAGCTCTAGAACTCTGTACATTTAAGTTTTTGCTTAATTGATTAATTGCAGACTTTCTTGTTTAAGTCTTTATTTGCAAATGCGGTTGTACTGAAACATGAGCATTGATGGCACTTATTTGCTTTGCTTGTGAAATGTAACTTTTATTTAATTCAGTCTTGTAGTGCCTCAGTGCCAGGATTTTGAATGTAGGTTTTCATTTAACACTTACAGATCAGTTTTGGAAGTTACAGGAGCCTGGATCAAACCTGTAGTGATTTTGAAAAGTTACCCTGGGAAGTTTCATTTTAAAGCCCAAGCTTAGAGCTTGTCTTGTTTTTGCATTCTCCCCGTTTAAAAGTGCAGTTAACTGGGGAGGGAATCATTGTTTGGATATTTTGCTTTTTTAGAAATGATTAAATAATTGATTTTTAGAAATGAAGAACTTATAATCAACCACAAAAATAACAGTATCTTCATTTAATCTTGGAACTGCAACGTGCTTGGTCTTTTTTTTTGACGTAGAATATGGTTTAAAAAGCATAGACTTAGCCATGGTTAGAATCGTAGCTCTGGAAGTATAAGTTAGCTAACTTAACATTTAGTGTTATAAAATAAATAGTAATTAGTAGAAAATGACTAATTTTGCTTTGGCATTTGTTTTTTTGTGTGCTAATTTATTTTTTCCATAGTCTTAATGGCCTGAATTTCTGAGCAGCTTTTTCTGGAATCACTGAGATTTATATAATTTGATAGTGGCATTAGATTAAATTCCATTTGCTTGTAAAATAAATTGTAAACCACGGTCTTTAGTATATGCAAATTGAAATGCTCTTAAATTACATTCTAAAGGCTGCATGAATTTTCTCCCCAAAATCACTTAAAAAAAATATTCCTTAGTAATTTTAGGGTATTGGGGGAAAGTTTTGTTTTGTTTTTTAAATTGGAATGTAACAGATGGGGGTGGTAAGATAAAATTTGAGGACTATACTGATTATCATTTAGGTATTTGTATACTGTATGAAAGTAGTTGGTAACATTAGCTGAGAGCTTATATTTGCTGAGTGCTTACTGTATGCCAGGTTTTGTTCAGTGTACTTTGTGTGTTTTAACTCACTTAGTCCTCTAACTCTAGGAGGCAGAGAGTCAGTAATTTGGTGTAGACCATTTATCTAGTAAGGGGTGGATTGATTCAGGACCCAAAGCATGCAGTCTGTTCCAGTGCCAGTGCCATGTTGCTTCCTATATAAGTAGGGGTTATAAAATAATTACAAAAATTATTTAATTTGGTTGTGCCTTTTTAAAGAATTATATGCGATCAAATTGACAGCAGCAACT